ACTCTGTCATTTTAGGGGTCAGACAACTGACTAAAGGCCAAAAAGCCTTTTAAAACAGCAAGGTTGTCCATTGAACTCTGTACACCAGCTGCTTGACACAGGCTCAGTATTTGAAAGAAAATACTGTTTATATGTATTCACCCACAGAACCATAGTTCACATGCTACAATCCCAACCAGGCATGCTCAACCTCAAATAAGTTTCAAATTACAGCCGTGACTTGTCAATTATGTCCCTCCTATTCCACAACAAACTTTTCATCCCAATAACGTAAAAAGCTTTCAGCTGAACAAAGACAAAGTTTAGACAAAAACAAGCTGAGTGCTCTGTTATTGTTTTAGTCACAAACTGTTGGCAACATGTTATTTCCAGAAAGGTAGAAACAACAATGCCATCAACACAACACCATGAAGGCAGAGGTACACAGTCAACAAAAATTCAAACCATCTGGAAGGGAAATGGACACACATGGTGGTGCATACAAATGTGTCTATACCTGCTGTAGAATTGTTTTTTTATTTACACTCACTGCTGGTGGTGCATGAAGACTCTACGTGTGTGTAAGCCTGGCAAACCAGAAATTGGTTCTTGTGCTACTAGCACAAGAAGCCAGCAAGGCGCTGTAAGGATTTAGCTTGGTCATTAAAATCGCAGCAATCCAGGGGTTAACTACAGTGTGGAGGTGAGAATTTCTTTCAACAAATTGTGGGTTGATCAGGGGTTCGTATTAATTATGTGCTGTATGATTGCTGTAAAATGCTTTGTGGTTGGCTGAAGGCTGAAACATACCTTCAGTTGCCAGTTTATTAGGTACATCTGGCTAATACAAGAGCCATGCTATCCTAAATCCTATCTTCATTAAGGTTAAAATGTTTACCTTCACGGACATAAAAAGGTTGGACAAAAGTTTAGTATTCAAAATACCCATAATGTTCAACAGCCCTATCCGGTCTTTGTACATTTTTCGCCAGGTGTACCTGATAAACAGGTGACTGAGTATACTTCTCTAAGGATAAAGTTTATATAGAATATAATATGTTGTGTTAGTTTTCATGGTAAAAAAAAAGAGGTTAACTTATCTTTCCTTTGTATGGAGACCCACACATATTCAGTGTAAAATATTTGATAATTTAACCTTAACCTAGATTATGGCATTAAGTTATAGCACTCAATTTGTCCTTGTCACCTCAGCACCATTTCATACTATTTTAATGATGGTTGTTGGTTAGTAGGCACCAAAACTACTTGGTAAGGTTCAAGAAAGAATCATGGTGTGGGTTAAAATAAGTCTGTTAAGGTACACTACGTGTGTAAGTTAAAATAAATCATATTTGACTCTCTACATGGACATTGTCGTTCTCTATACTACGTCACCGGGCATTTTTTTTCTCTATGACATTAGCTCGTAAAATGACACGCCTTCTCTGCACAATATATGTCAATAGAGACTAAATACTGTGAAATGACAAGCAAAAAAATGTGTGATAAGACATCAAATGACTTAAGACATTGCAGTGTTATTCGAACGCCATTTGGTGATAGCAGGCTGTAAGGTTGGGTCACTTGGGTTTAATACATAGATACACATTTTAGCAGTTACATACAAAGTGGTTTGCTTTGACATACATTTATTGGGGCGTTACTTATTTGAGGTAACACACTACTAATACATGTGTAGTTATTAAACTATCCTCATAAACTATTCATTTGAGGTGACTGATGGTATAAAAAAATTATAAGTGGCAGGGTCAAGCATCATGCCAATTTTTACTAGTGGCCAAGTGTGGTACTGCAATTAATATGAAAAAAATGAGGCCGCTGTTAATAATACATCTCAAAGATACACCACAAACAGCACACAATGTCAATAATTACTTTCAGTTTTGCAATTTGGGTAATGTTAATAATAATAATAATAATAATAATCCTTATTTGTAGAGCACTTTTCAAAAACAAGTTACAAAGTGCTTTAACAAGTGTAAAGAATAATACAAAAAAACAAAAAAAACAAGATAAGAGCATGAAAAATGTATATAAAATTAGTAAAATACAATAAAATAAAAGGGATAAAATAAAGTCAAATAAGATTGGGAAAGGCTCTCCTATAAAAGTATGTTTTAAGAAGGGACTTAAAAGAGTTCACTGACTCAGACGACCAGATTTCCTCGGGCAGGCTGTTCCAGAGCCTCGGGGCCCTGACAGCAAACGCTCTGTCCCCCTTTAGTTTTCAGTCGAGACTCTGGAACAGACAACAGACCTCTGCCCGAGGATCTCAAGGTACGTGCTGGTGCGTATGGGACTAAAAGGTCAGAAATATAACAAGGCGAGAGGCCATGAAGAGCTTTAAAAGTGATCAATAGAATTTTAAAGTCAATTCTAAAACATACTGGGAGCCAGTGTAATGAAGCTAAAATAGGAGTAATGTGGTCATATTTCTTTGTTCTGGTTAAACAAAGAAATATGACCCTTTAATATGTTATGTTGCAATTAAGCTGTTGTGCTTCAGTATCTGTTGGATTGGCAGCCCGGCAGACATTTTTGCAGTCTTGCATTTTCTGGATTCCTGACTGTCGGTTCACAGGTCACGTCACTCCTGCCCCAGTGGTATCTCTCAAACAGACGCACACACTGAAGTGGAAATGATAGGCATATATAGCATCTCTTATATATCTCTCTAGTTTATCACACCCCCCCTATCTTACATGTGAAATATTCAGTCTGTTCAGTAGCTATCCTTCTAGTTTTGTACTTTAGCAAAGGCAGGTATATGTTTTTGCCAATAAATCCTCTATAGCAAAAGTTGCATTTAATATCTACTAGAAAGCTGAGGAAAGTCTTTTAAAGGTGATTGTTAAGATGGAAAGTTTGGGAATAAGCCACTGCCTTGTTATGAAGGCAACCTGCTGCAATTTTGTGAGGTAAGGCTAAACCTACATGTATGTTGTCATTGCTTTTGACCGTACTAAAACTATGTAACTTGATAACATTTTCAAACATTACCCCAATTTGACTTTTTTTTAAAAATTAAATGAATATCTACTATTAAAAACAATTTATAACAAAAATGTACTGTTTATTAGATACCACTGATTAACAGCTCTGTGGACATCTCAGCTTCTCACACACACACGCGCACACACACACACGGTCCTTTATGTGACAAGCCTAATCTTTCCCAACCCAAGAAGTGACAATAAGCAGGCCCAGTGGCCTAATTAAAGGGACTTTCATTCAAATTAACACACACTCTCTCACACACACACACACACAACCCTCTGATGACCCATTAGCCACACAATGACCAGGACAATGCTTCTCTGTCACACACACACACACACACACACACACACACACTTCGGTTCTCCAGGGGGTAAAGCTGGATTTAGATTTATGAATGCCATAAAAGTGTCCGCGGAGGGAAAAGTATGCCTTTAAAATCTCTGTAGACACTCTCTAGATAAGGCAACAAGTTGCATATAGTCAATCTTTCATCTTGCCATGTCTGTGACTGCGACACCCCCCAACCCCCGAAGAGCCGCACATCTACAAGCAGATTCATCACTTATCTCTTAAAGCTCTTATCCAGGGTCACTGTGCGTCCTCCTCCTCCTCCCCTTTATCTGCATTTGACCGTGGGCTTTTTTAGCACGGCAGGGGTGTGAAAGTCAGTTTGACCTCTTGGGGCAACCTCGAACACAAATCACGGTGTGCGCTACAAAGCGCTGAGACAGAGGGCCTTGAGCAAGTGAGCAATGACCACAAAATGGTAACCTTTATTTCCAGCACCATAAGCTGTTCTCAGGCGGGATGCTCACACATACACAAGATCAAAGTGTGTTATTCAAGTGGGAGAGATATATCGTCCCTTTGAGAAGTAAAGTTTACCTTGCCGCGGCTTCGCTTGCCTTTTTAAAATCGTGTAGAAACTTTCAGAGGCAATATTTGATTGCTTTCTGGAAGACAAAAGGGTAGGCAGGAGATCGGCTTGCTTGCATTTGTTACAGGGCTTCAGGGTAATCTGGTTTTGTTGGGGTGGTTTGTGAGGCTTCGGGGTCATGCTCTCTGATTCTCCGAGGAGAAAGATCCTCCACATCCTTCCTGTGTGTGTGTGTGTGTGTGTGTGTGTGTGTGTGTGTGTGTGTGTGTGCATGCTGCCCCACACAGCCCACTCCTATTTGCTCTTTGACTCCAATGGCCATATAAGGTGGCCAGCACCATGGTAACCACAGAGCTTGAATAGCAGTGTCAAATCCCTGGGAGCACACACACACACACACACACACACACACACACACACACCCCCTCCCCCTCTGCACACACTCTGGCTCCCTCCCTCCCTCTCTCTCTCTCCATTGCTTTGCTTGATCTCTCTCTCTCAAAGCACACACACAAATAGGCAAGAGGAAAGACGGCTGAGGAAAAAGAGAGCAAATGCAGAGAAATCCAGCTAGTCTCGGGCTGTGGTCATCTTCTTGAATCATAATTTGATTTGTGCACTCTGAGAGCCTGAGAGAGGGAGAGAGAAGAGGAGCATTCGTTCTTTCCAGACCCCCGTTCGCCTGAGCCATAGGGAAAGGCTTCTCTCTCACACACAAACACACACACACACACACACACACACACACACACACACACACACACACAGACAGAGAGCAGCACACAGGGCTAGGCCGCAAGTCATTAGTTCTTCGTGGGCAAGCACTGACAAAAGGCTGGAGAGAGAAGCCCGTATGAGTTCAGCCACAGGAACTATGCAGGGCTGAGCAAGAAGGACGCGCTCCTGCTTTTCTTGATGTTTTTTTTTTTTTTTTTGGAAGGAAGCACCACCGAGGATATTGTCACAACAGAGCACTCGTGCTACACCACGCAGGGGAAGAGCGATCACTTCCTTGTGTCGACTATCTACATTTTGGAGGCAAGCGCAGGCAGTCCACGTCGCCTCGTCTGCCGCTGCAGCTGCCGCAGCTGGCGGCGCCCGAAGAAGCCCACGACCACATGAAAGTGATGTTGTTGTTGCTGTGGGGACATCAACTTGTTTTGCTTGATCTAGGGGGTCACAATGCTGCTGTTGCTGCCGCTGAGAGGATTACAGCAGAATAGGGGAGTTGTGTCCGCAGCCTCGCTGAATGGAAGGAAGATCTAGAGCGAGAAAAAGGATTTTATTTTCCAGGGAAGGAAGCCACAGACACAGCACATTAATGTTCGCCCTGAGGTAAGCTTTGACTCCATTTCTGGGAAGATTTAGAGGGGAATATTTAGGTAGACCGACACCTTTTTATGAGAAATAATTGGTACAAGCGAGGACAAATTCAGTGTGAGGGGTACTTTAAGAGGGGTGGTCAAAGCCTCTCCAGGCATGTGCTATGCTGAGCTACACTGAGGTCCTTTTTCAGCCATTACTGTTGCTACAGAGACTGAGCTGTGTGAGAGTGGAGAAGAGAACAGTATGTGGAGCTGTGTGTGTGGCCGAGAGGATTTTCACCTTTCATGTATTTTGCTCACAAATCAGTCTGCCTCTGCTCTCTTCTAGGAGAACCGTACGCTCGACTCATTGTTCCCTGTGAAAGCTTCCTCGGCTGAAGTGTGACACCGTTCGGCCGAGCAGGCTTCTCTTTCACCATCTCAGGAATTGGTCTGAAAGGAGGAGGGGGAAAAGGACAAACCGACACACAGTGGCTACCACTTGGATAAGGGAAAAGGGCGGTGGAGGGGAGGGGGGGCACTAAAATCTACAAGCATGCACAACTAAAAGTTGCTACACTAGACTGTTTCCAGGTCATAGTGGAGTGGGAGGAGACAGAACTGCTCTTGTTTTTTTTCTGCCAAACACCCTCCTCCTCAAGGCTGTAGCCTATTTTTTTTCTCACTTTGACATCTGCTTGTTTAGCCTGAGGACTGTTTTTTTCTGCTTCTTCCCAGTTCTGCTATTATATGCTCTAAATTAATGCAGAGAGTAAACAAATGAGAGCACAGGCGAGCAGAAAGTACTGATTCTCTCCAGGAGAGGGGAAACACACAATCTGGACTTTTGATGTTTACGTTACCTTGACAGCAACCAGAGATCTTGGCTGCCTGTCCCATTTTCTTCTGCGGTGGTTCGCTAACCAAGCGATGGCCATGGTGAGTGGGGGCTGGGGAGATCCCAATGGGGGCACAAACGGGTTGGGAGACAAGAGCTACCTGAGGGGGGAGGAGGAGGACGGTTCTCCACAGGCGGGGGGCAGCGACATGGAGGCCGGGGACGATGACAAGGCCTGCGTGGTGGACTGCGTGGTGTGCGGGGACAAGTCCAGCGGGAAGCATTACGGCGTCTTCACCTGCGAGGGCTGCAAGAGCTTCTTCAAGAGGAGCGTCAGACGCAACCTCAGTTACACATGCAGGTGAGAGGGGCATCATGGGTAATTGTTCTGTTTTGCTGGAAACGTACATCGTTAACGTTAAGTTACAGCCACACGTGGTTATGTATTGATAGACGTTAATATACAGATGGCGAGACTGTCTGCTTATAAGTCTTTCTAGCATAGTTCTAACAACATTTCACATTTAACTCATTCTATCACCTGTGATCTATTTATGCCATTTCTTTGTTTAATGGAAAGCGCTTTTTAAATTTTTAATGAAAAGTATTTTTCAAAGAAAAAGGCAACCAATCTCTTAATGAATGACGAAACAGGAGTTCGTGCTGAGCTGTTACACTCACACAAAGCAATAGGCCTATTTGTCTTTGCTATGACGTGTGTGAAAAGTGTCATACATGGCACCAAAACTCATAACATCTACAATAGTAAAGGTGTCTCTTTAATACAGCTGAAAAATGAATCGATTAGTCGGTTAACGCCTGGATGCAGCTTCTCAAATGTGAGGATTTTCTGCTTTTTGTGTGTGTTTTGGACTTTTGAATATGTTACCTTCAGCTCCAGGGAAATGCTCCACTATTCTTTCACATTTTACTGACAACGATGAATCGAGAAAAAAGTGGCAGATTAATTGATGATAAACAATCCTTAGTTGCAGCCCTACTTTGTTGTAATGTTTGGGAAGCATGCATGTCATGCAAGCACAAATAAAGGCGTCTCCAAATAGTTGAAGTTAAACAAAGACTTCGGTTGTCATTAATTATAGAGCAAATTAAGTATGTCAGTATTAAGTATTTCATTTCGTACCTATCAATTTATGTAAATCTTGAATTTAGGGCTACAACTAACAATTACTGTCATTGTTAATCAAAGTTCATTCATCGATTATTCGGTGAAATTTCAATAAATAGTGAAATAACTGCACTTCGCAGTTTTTCAGAGACCAAACTGATGTCTTCACATTGCTTGTTTTGTCTGACCAAAGTCCAAAACCTAAACCTATTCAATTTACAATTATATATGATGAAGAATGGCATACTTGCTTGGAAAGTGACTGAAGGAATTAATGGTTCATCAAAAAGTTGACTTACTGATGAATTGACCAATTGTTTAAGCTCTGCTTCAGTTGAATGAAAATAAAAGAGTATGTTGCAAAGTACACCTAAGAACAGTTGAGATATGTTATATAAACAACAGTGAATGATAGGATCTGCTTCCTAAGCATAATGTTTCCTGTGGCCTAATGGGAAATGTAGTTTCATGATACAATATTAATGTTCAGAAGCACTGTAAAAAGGAAGTGTTTTCTTATAAATACAACAATAATCACTGAGCAGCATCACACAGTCTGACACCTGTAATAAATCAGACTGCCATTGCCTCAAAATCATTTGTTTATGTTCTCAGGTCAAACAGAGAGTGTCAGATTGACCAGCACCACAGGAACCAGTGCCAGTACTGCCGACTGAAGAAATGCTTCCGTGTTGGCATGCGCAAAGAAGGTATCTGTCTACCCTGATCCGTAAATCCACTTTGATCCCTTGCAAAGGATGGGGCAAGCTGTGACTGTACATGTGCAATATTGCGAATTCTGCAACTGAATTGATATAAAAAATTAAAATCATTGATATTTCCTTCAGAAAAGAGCCCTTTCATTATTTCAGTCAGCTGCCCTTATGAAAGAACGAAGTCAATCACATTTGCCTTTGTTGTTATCTTGCCTTTTCTGCTCCATGAGCTCCATAGTGCAGAGAAAATGCCACACGTGGCTGTCAAGGCCCTATCATGGCTAAGCTAACCATGCGTGTCAGCTCAATGCCATGTACTAAGTGGCTTAATCTAGTGCCTGTGTAAGAGTGACTGAGAGGGATACAGTGCTAAGACACCTGCGTCCCAGAGCCTTAAGCCTCTGGTTGAAGCTATAGAAACCCCTCTGCCTTGTTTGCTCGATCAGGCAGAATCCAATATGGGGATTTCACCTTAAGTGGTGCAATTCAAGGGAGGCATCATTCAATGTCATGCTGATAGATACATGGAAACAAATAATGAATAAATACAGTGCGTATAGATAGTTGCAAGGCTTTTCAACATTGCAACCATAGAAAATGCATTTAACTTGTTTGAAGGTTTGTGTCTCTGAGCTGTTTGCCCCTCATACTCGTAAATCATGCTAATGGGAGCCATTATGGCTCCCTACAGAGAAATTCCCTCTACTTGACCACCTTCACAGAGGGGTCAGAGGTCAGGGTCAGCCACAGAGCAGCATTCCAAGGCCTGGGTGAATGGATTCCATGTCTTGCTTAAGGACACTTAAGCAGGACAGATGCTCACCACATGAATTAATATCCCCAAATAAATGAGTTTCTATTTAAGGTGATGTTCTTCATCTGGTCTTCAAGCTGAATTTATCTTATCTGCTTATAATGATTACAACATAAACTAAGGTGATACAGTCACCTTAGTTTATTCCAATCATGTTGTAATTCTCCTCCACAATTAATATTGCAGCGCCTTAAAATTTTTAACATAGAGTAAGTGTCTTTGTTTTATTTCCATGGATAACCTTCATGTAGCCTGACGGGCACAAGAATATTTCTCATTGCTTTCACGCCATTCTTGAGGAATCCTTCTGGGCTCGATTATGCCTCCTTTAATGTTGAAGAATAGCTTCCTAATCGGGTCAAGCCTGTCTGCTGATAATCTGACATGCACCGCTGGCTGAACTCAGTTTTAACTTTTCTTCCTCTCCGTTTTCCTCTTCAATTCCCCTCCTTTACCTCCCCTTGTCCTTCACTATTTTCTTCTCTCTTTATCTTCTCTTGTTCATTCCCTTTGTCTTTTTTCCTCCTCTCCTCTCCTCTCCTCTCCTCTCCTCCCCTTTGTCCCCCAACCAAACTACAGCAGTTCAACGCGGCCGCATCCCACCTCAGCCGAGCCTCAGCCCCTCCATCACACCCATAGGTGGCGCCAGCGGCCTTGGTGGCGAGTTCTATAACAACAACAACAATGGTGGAAGTGGAGGAGGTCAGCCGGTGTCAGAGCTCATTTCCCAGCTGCTGCGAGCCGAACCATACCCCAGCAGTCGGTATGGACACCAGTACAACCAACAGGCCGGTCCGGATAACGCCATGGGGATCGATAACATCTGTGAACTGGCTGCCAGGCTGCTCTTCAGCACTGTGGAGTGGGCCAGAAACATCCCTTATTTCCCTGAGCTGCCTGTGTCAGACCAGGTTAGTAGACTACAGTTAATTGAAAAGGTCAAAAAGTATGGTTTGATTGCATATTTAGTTATTTAATTATTCCCTTGTTATCAGAAGGTAGTCTTCTTCACTTGGGAAAGTGAAGTGAAGGACAGTGTCTACATCAAAATATAAATATACAGTGGTTACAGTGAACATGAAAAATGGATGATAACTGTGCAGGGCAATCTGATTAGCACACTAACAAATCCACAGGTGGCCCTGCTGAGGCTGAGCTGGAGCGAGCTGTTCATCCTCAACGCGGCCCAGTCTGCCCTGCCGCTCCACATGGCTCCCTTGTTGGCCGCGGCCGGCTTCCACTCCTCACCCATGTCTGCGGAGCGCGTGGTCTCCTTCATGGACCAGGTGAGGGTGTTCCAGGACCAGGTGGACAAGCTGACCAGGCTGCAGGTGGACTCTGCTGAGTACAGCTGTCTCAAGGCCATCGCCCTGTTCTCACCAGGTGATACTTGCTGCTCTGCTGCTCTATTGGCTGTTATTGCAACACAGTGTGCTGCAGAACCACCCCAGCCAATTTTAAAGGGGCACTCCAGTGATTAAGCGTTTTACGTCCATAAAGTTTTGGACGAAAACACAGATGAAAAAAGAATGGTTAAAGTGAGTTCGGCAGTGGCTCAGATATTTTACTCTCTTGTATGGATCCATCTCCAAAAGCACTGTGTCCTACATTTCCCATAATGCAACTCGACAGTATCTTTTAGCAGACCCTTCCTGCCTGGTAAACACCCACATTTTTAAAACTCCACACCTCCAGTTTTTAACAAAAGCTTTCTGAATTAATTGTCTGAATTAAAAGTCTATGCCCAGATAACCTTGATGACATCACCAGGGTAATTTTTTTTTAGACTTGACAAAGCTCCTCTTGAACACACATAAATTAAGAGTCTAAAAGCTCAGTGAAAATACTGGAGATCTTAAAATGGCAAACTTCATATTTGTAATCCTAAGGTGTCTGGAGAACTGCAGGTCTGTTGGCCACCTCACTGTGTGAATTTACCAACTATGGCACCATCTTCTGGCTTATAAATGAAAATGAAAATAATGCACTATGTGCTGCATAATTTAGTGCTGTCGCTGATCGCTGTGCAGCACTCTGCATTTTAAGACTTTAGAAAAACACAAAAAGTGGCTTCCCTACACAGATTGCTGAGTGGGAGTGCCTTTTTCTAAAAGCATTCATATCTTTTTAAAACTAAATAACCATATCCTGCAAATGTTTTAGAGTTTTGTTTGAGGTTGGTTTTAAATCGTTTGTTGATCTTATATTGTAGACATGAATCGCACTATTTTTGTATGTGTTCCCCTTAGGGGCATTTTATCACATTATCTGCTGGAATTCAACCTGCCTCTCAGCTCCTCACGACTCTTTATGTAACCTGCCCACACTATTAAGTAACTGCCTCCTCCCTCCCTCCCTCTCAGACGCCTGTGGTCTAACAGACCCAGTTCATGTGGAGTCTCTGCAGGAGAAGGCTCAGGTGGCTCTGACAGAGTACGAGAGGATGCAGTACCCGAGTCAGCCTCAGCGCTTCGGACGCCTGCTCCTGCGCCTCCCGGCTCTGCGCGCCGTTCCGGCCAGCCTCATCTCGCAGCTCTTTTTCATGCGCCTGGTAGGAAAGACACCCATCGAGACGTTGATCCGTGACATGCAGCTCTCCGGAAGCTCAATCAGCTGGCCGTATGTCCCAGGACAGTAGTCCCCCCGCGGACGAGGTCTCCGTCTGGATTTAGTGACGACAAAGACCCACAGGAATCCTCTTGACTCATCACTATCCATCTGTGGTTATGAAACTGCAGTGCCAGCTGGCCGTCATATGTACTGTACTGTAACTGCTCTATTCCCCCTCATGAAACTGTCTCCACATGGGCTTCCAGAGAAGAGAGGGGCTGGTGCCAGGGTGGATCTGTCTTGTTGCCAGCCCACTCATTCTGGTCCAGGTCTTAAGCCAGAGACAAGCTCTTCGTGCTGGGTGCCGATATGGCCACCACAGCCTGTCATGTCACCACCCACATGCCATAGTGAATAAAGACGCTGCAGTTTCATGTAGAGGGCACCAGCACCCTGCTATACATACATCTAGAGGACAAAACTGTCCTGCCACTGAAAGTCAGCAGAACACTTTTTCTCACACTGGGCTCATTTTCCATAGATCACCATTTGTGATACAGTGACCTTTGTGTCCACACAACTGATAACATTACAGCACAGTATCATGAATATAATGGATCTAACTGAACAGTGAAGCATCAGGAAGCTGCGGTTGTGCGGTGAACTGAATATAAGACACAGTAAGGGCCTCGTTGTTGAAGAGAAAATTCACTGAGGAACAAGCCAAGGAACTGATCAAATGGAACAGAAGTGAAATAAAATAAAACCAAGGAAAAATCACCAAAGTCTAGAATAGAATCATAAGTACACGAAGCAGAGAGAAAGAGGACTCCTGTGACTGCCTGACCATCAAGTGAACATTGCATTTACATTCATTCACAGGGCTCACTGTTGCTGTAGTTGAAGAAGATTGGAAAAAAAAAAAAAAAAGCCAGTTAAATGAGAACGGGCTAATACCTCACTAGACATCAGAATGCTTTAGTCTGATATTTCCTAAACACAAAACTCTGTAAATGTTGTTCACCAGAAACCGCCTTCTTTTTGACAACTGCCTTGTTATTCAGTATGAATTTGGGTCATTTATGAAATATTCCGAGCATCACAAACATTCGTCTTGTATCTTTTTAAAAAAGATCCCCCAGGTGAACACTTGTGTTTTGACTGATTGAATATGGTGAATTCAGCTATTAAACTTGCTTTGGATCTAGCCTCTTTTTTTTCCTTTTTTTTTTTTTGAGATACGGCAGGCTGACATCAACTCGGGTTTCTTTCAATTCAAGACAATAAGAACTCATTCAACAAATATAGCTGGTGATGAGAGTTTATAACCAACACTACCAGTTAAATACCAGTTTACGTCACTCAATGCGGTCTCTGGGGGAATGATCCCATGAAAAACATATTGAAATGTGTATATATTGAGGCCAACTTTGTCTTTTTGCATGTTCAAATGTTGTTTTGGATCTCTGCTGAGTTGAAATGCTTTCATCCTTTTACATTATGTAACTCAAGATTCATTTAAACATTAAAATATTGTGTTCACTGTTAGCTCCTAAATGGATTTTTTTCTTATATGTATTTACATGAAAATACCTCTGTCATCTGTTTAGATGTCAAAAAAGAAGCTTACTTTCATGCCATTACAGGTGATATGACGGAGAGATGTTTATGCTCTCATCTCTAAGCATCTGAGTGAGTCTCTGCTGTTGTGAATGATGTGAGATGATACTGTAATGCATGGAAATCTGGTGGGAAAACTGCACTTGGAGGATATACAATGCCAAAACATCACACTATCTGTGAACAGTTCAAAAGAAGACGGGCCCTGATACGCTGGTCCACCAGAATTTACCTCACACAGGTATTTCAAGAGGCGAGTTTACAAAACCACAAAATCAACTCTAAATACAACATATTTCAGCATTTAGGGAGGAAAACATGTAGAAGGATGTAACTCTGCTTCTTGATCTACCACCGGGCCTTTTGAAAGTTGGATATTCTTCTTTTAGGCAACCACTCACACAATCATGTAAGTGAGGGAAAAAAAAGATAAATATACTATAACTGTTTTCTTATCTTTGTGTTACTGAGTTTTTAAAATTTCATGTGTATGGACAACGTTATTAAAAGAATCAAAAAATGACTGTCTTTTGTTATGTTTTTTTTTAAACTACCTGAAAATGTGTTGTAATTACATCTGTATGAAGAATGCCAAATAAACACTGCAACATGTATCATAAATGTATAAGTGTGATTTGAATTCATATGCCAAAACAGTTTAAACAGCTGATTTATTTAAATAATTGTCTCCTTTTCTGTCAGACTTTTATTCATCACATTATTTTTTTGTATAAAAACTGATATTCATTCGTTTCCATAATACAACATTCTGTAACAAACAGCATTAAATAAAAATTGCCATTGAGTTGGAAAGTAAAATCTAACACAAGGTGCAACACATTCAATCACACAGAGAGTCTATCAGAAGATCTGTTCTGACAGTAATCTGCTCTGACAGCTGAAGAAACTAATACAGAAGCTGTAAACACTGGGGTCAAAAACAGTTGAGGTTCAGTGACTCTAAGGCCAGTGTGAGGGCCATGTTGGTGTGGACTGAACTGTTACAATTCAAACAGAAAAACAGTGAAACTGAAGAAAAAATGGAGTATAAATCCTTGTTTCTTTCGCAAAGTCGCACCCTGTGTGGGTTCATCCTCAGCTGTTTGAGCAGATTATTAAAACACACTAACAAAGACCTTGGTCATAGATTTTCACCAGACGTTTGATGTGGAAAAGCTTTTGCCGAAGTTCTTTGCACTGCTTCTTCTTTGCTTGATAGTCTGGCGTCTAGGAAGTAAGATAAATTGAAGCACGCGGATAAAAAGCAATCAACATTATCAGCATTGGTAGCAATAGTAGAGTATTAAAACATTGAGAAATTCGCTCATTCACTTTTTTGCAGACAGATGAGATGCAACTCTCATATCTACTTGATTAGTCTGATGTTACAGTTAGCTGAGCTTAGCATAAAGACTTGAAACAGGCGGAAACAGCTAGCATGGCTCTGTCCTACACCCGCTCACTACACCTTCCTTCCTTTTTGTTTAATTCACACAAAAACCAAAGTGTGTAAACAACAATTTGTTCATCATGTTGGTTTATGTGCCAAAGTCTATTTCTTGTTCCATAAGTAAGATTGTCGCAATTTCAGTGGCACTTTAAATTTGGTAAGGATGCTAGGTAACAGCTGAGACTCCAGGAAGTCACTGCACACGGTTTGGTCAGAGGCAGGCTAACCGTTTCCCCCTGCTTCCAGTCTTTATGCTAAGCTAAGCTAACCGGCTGCTGGCTGCAGCTTCATACTGACCGTACAGAAATGAGAGTAGTATCGATCTTCTCATCTAACTATCGGCAAGAAAGCGAATAAGCTTTTATTTCCCAGAATATTGGACTAATTCTTTAATTTCACATTATGATACCACATTATATAATTCCACTCACCCTTTTCAGGTCTTTGAGTCGGTTATACTCATCTGCCACACCCTGAAAATGAAAATTATAACGTAAACAACATAAGACCATTCTGAAATTGTAGCAGAAAAGTGAAATCTGTCTTGGTTCATCTTCACTACTGTGATTCTATGGCAGTCCATCATACTGAGGATGAACTAAGCTGATAAATTTTAATTAATTAAAAGACACAGCTATGACGATGCATTCTCCAGGAAGCTTGCCCTGGATTTGTCCACTCTGACCTCCCTCCTATTTTTCTCTACCTGGTACTTCATGGAGCCCTCATCCAACACGTCCAGTTCTCGGCTCAGCTTGTGCATCTGGTCACTGATGTCATCCATTTCAGCACAGAGGCTCTTATAGAGAGCCAGATCGGAATCAAACTCCTTCTTGTACTGGCGGCGCTGCTTGTCTGAAATTATCTCTGGGTACTGCCTGGAGTGGGATGTTAATATGAATATTAAATTTAAAGTATTATTGAGGCAGTGGCAAAAAGAGAAGGTGATGAGCTTTATTTTCTTACCAGTGTTAAAATTAAAATAATTTAAGTTGGCCAACTTGCCTTAAAGACAGTTGTAATGTCAGCATTTGTGGTATTACAGCATTTTCCTCTGAAATAATACTGTCTGTTCAGGGCAGGGCACATTCTCTCCAGTCTCTCCTGTTATTAATTAAAAAAAGTTAAGCCTGAAGAAAGTAATACTTCCTCTCAGATTGGACTTAAATACTTTCATTTGGGTTTAACAAGTTTTTTATTTTTTTATTTTTTTTACTGACACTGATGCTGATTTGTCTTGCTTCAAGCTGCTGATAGCGAACATTTATGCTGCTATTCCACATCTTTAAATTTCAGTATTTTCCTGCCTCAAAAATAATATTGTGTTATTTTACATTGAGGAAAAGCATCTGAACCAGTATGCAGACAATACAGCTCTTCTGTGAATTACAAGTCTTTCAGTTCAATTACAGTAACTAAACTTAAGCATAGTAACCACAATTGTAGTGTGCACCTCCTCACATATTTTTAACGTTATTTAGCTTAGGGGAAACTGATATCTCTTGCATTCACGTCCACGCATCCTTATTTATCTTTTTTTTCTCTACATTTCTCTACCTCTTTAGTATGCGTTTAAATGCTTTATGTTGTATTTAATGTTTTTTTAGTTTAATTAAATATGGAAAACACTTTGAACTGCCCCTTTGATTAGACTTGTTTGAATACTTGCTCAGATGATGAACACGCCAAGATTGCGGTATTAAATGGCAGTGGAGGAGTGGCCCACCTGTAAAGGTAATCTGTGTGGTCCAGCTCATTGCCAGTCTCTCCGGTGGTGTAACCAGTTTCACACTGGGACTCCATCATCTCCTGAGCAGCAGGATTGGGCTCTGGGTCCTTCCTCTGTTCCCTTTCCACATGATAAGGAGGAGGATTCCTGAAGCAGTCAGTCTTGTCGGAGGAGTTGCTGGAACAAACTGTGACCCCGCTGTTCTGATACAGAGGCTCAGCTCCCCGACGGTTGCTGTTGTCAGCAGAGGAACTGTGGAAATGTCAGACACAGGCATTTGATGATTGATTGTATATTTATGCTTGAACGTCGACAGTCACATTTATTTATGTTGGATTTATTAGAATTTAAGCTGCAAATTCAGGAGAACATTTTTGCTAAATCTAGTATCGCCGATAACAGAGATATGAGGTCTGAATCGAACATTCAAAAGTATCAGTTAAAAAAGAATCATTCGGCCATTTTTGACCACTTATTACAAAAAAATGTCAACACAGGCAACATACACTCACCGGCCACTTTATTGGGTACACCTGTTCAAATGTTTGTCAACACAAATAGCTAATCAGCCAATCACATGGCAGCAACTCAATGCATTTAGGTTTCCAGACGTGGTCAAGACATCTCGCTGAAGTTAGCGTAAGTAAACCGAGCATCAGAATGGGGAAGAAAGGGGATTTATGTTTGTTGGTTCCAGACAGACTGGTCTGAGTATTTCAGAAACTGCTGATCTACTGGGATTTTCATACACAACCATCTCCAGGGTTTACAGAGAATGGAAAAAGAGAAAGTGAGCCGCAGTTGTGTGGACGAAAATGCCTTGTTCTTGTCAGTGGTCAGAGGAGAATGTGCAGACTGGTTCGAGATGACAGAAAGGCAACGGTAACTCAAATAACCACTTGATACAACCAAGGTATGCAGAATACCATCTCTGAATGCACAACATGTCGAACCTTGAAACTGGATTCTACAGTTCGCACAGGCTCACCAAAATTGGACAATAGAAGTTTAAAAGAAATGCTCCCTGAGTTGATGAGTATCTCGTCAGATAGTAGGGTCAGACTTTGGCGTAAACAACATGAAAGCATGGATTTATCCTGCCTTGTATCCACGGTTCAGGCTGGTGGTGTAATGGTGTGGGGGATATTTTCTTGGCACACTTTGGGCCCTTTAGTATCAATTGAGCATCATTTAAACACGACAGCCTACTTGAGTATTGTTGCAGACCATGTCCTTCCCTTTATGACCACAGTGTACCCATCTTCTGATGGCTACTTCCAGCAGGGTAATGCACCATGTCACAAAGCTCAAATCATCTCAAACTGGTTTCTTGAACATGACAATGAGTTCACTGTATTCCAATAGCCTCCACAGTCACCAGATCTCAGTCCAATAGAGCACCTTTGGGATGTGGAGGAACGGGAGATTTGCATCATGGACGTGAAGCCGACAAATATGCAGCAACTGCATGATGCTATTATGGCAATATGGTCCAAAGAGAGGAATGTTTTGTACACCTTGTAGAAAGCATGCCACTAAGAAAAGGGACTGCTACTCACACGCAGTTCTAAAGGCAAAAGGGGATCTTTAATATTTGAACAAAAACAAATAAAATTGGCATTTCAAGAATACCATTCAAAGTTGTATGAATCAGAATGTAAATACAACCCAACCAACCATGCACCCCTCTTTGAAGACAAAAAATAGATCTGTCAGTGTTAATAATTTTCTGTACTGGTCTGGCTATATAGATGATCTGCCATGCCAATAAATCTTATTTGATCTGATTTGATTTGACAGATGTCAAGGAAATGGGCATTAAGGCAGCCACTAAAGCTGGTACAGCACCAGGACAGATGGTTATTTTGCAGAATTCTATAAATGTTTCCCGGACATCTTTTCTCCAATTCTGACCTTATTATACAAGGATATTATTACCACTCAGTTCATACCCAGAAGTATGAGCACAGCTGTTATTTCCCTGTTCCAAAACCAGGTAATGACAATTTACAAATGGGCAATTTTTGTCCTCTCAGCTTGTTTAATAATGAATTAATTTAGATCAAGTGGGTTTTATTGCTGGTTTAACAAATGAATACTTCAAAGCCCATTCTTTATTCTTTATTCGGATCCCTTCCACAAACTGGTCTCTAGTCTTCCTGGGGTCCACACAAAAACAATAACAAAAAAACAAACATCACAGAATCATTCAAACAAAAAAGGCAAAATAAGCCAAATATAATGATCAGAAAATAAGTGAAATTACTCTTCATATGAAACAATATACACTAGCAGCTTACAATGTGACAAAAACAAATGGTCACAAATACCAAGCAACAAAAGCAATCAAATAAAACAATCATGTGTTTTAGTGACTTTATGAATGCAAATCTACTTTTGGAACAATGTGATCACTCTGATTGGACCAAGACAGTAAATGATCTAATTCAGTAATTTAACTTCTTTCAGTATAAAACAATACATCAACACATATTTGTTTCACTTGCTCGTAGAACTTTAATGATCAGAAAACAGATCATCGTAATTGATATTATTTTCACAGAGAAGATTTTTTTATAATTATTATAAGACTAACATTAGGTAGAGCACAGACCATACTGTGGTGTTCTTGCACCACGGACTCATTAGCTGCAGCCAACACTCACCTGTTACTTTTATAATTTTCCTCATTGTAGCTGACTGTTCCCTTGCCGTAGGAAACCACACTTCTCTCCACCCTCAGGTTAGGTGCTGCTCTCTCTGATACAACAACAGTTGGAGCCTGCTGTGTGCTGCGCACCTCTCCAACATGGTTCACCTAAGACAGTAACAGAAGACTGGAGTCAAAATCACTTAATTTTATGTGTTTACATTGCAGATAATTAGATTTTATTTATTTGGAGATGCATAAGACAGAAAATCAACAATATCAGAAAATACTAATAATGTGATTAGTATGTCTTTCAGTATTTTGAGGCATAAAGCCATATTTAGAATCATGAGGATGAATCAAATGCATTTTTTATGCCGGAAAGAAAGTACAGAACTGGAGGGTTTGTTATACTGCACAGGACACTGTGCAGACTGTGTCACTGCCAGACATGTTTGCATGTAGCCAAAAACATACAAGGACACACACACACACACACGCACACACACACACACACACACACACACACACACACACACAGACACACACACAAACAGAGCAATAAAATGAAACATTTGCTGTTCATTCTTTCTGAAATATCAGGTAAACATGCAGCAAGGCACCCAGGTTCTTTTCTTTTTCAGAAGAAAATATCGTGCTTATCAAATGGAAGATTTTAACACCTACACAACAATACACAATGCTACAACCCTTTACAACCACAACATTTTTGAAAAAATGTAATGTTAAATACAGCATAGTCAAAATAAAACATTGTCAAATGATACCAAACACTAAAACTGCATTATGTCTCATGTAATCCACTGTAATGCATAATTAATGAATTCTAGTCATTGGCCTATTTCTGGATCGGAGAGTAGTCGTACAGGACGAGGATCTAGTGAGCTGATGTGAATGTCTGGAAAAAGCAGCCTGTGAAATAGATCTCATGAATGCGGAGTCTAAGGATGATCCTCTATGTGAATAAAACTCCCGGAAAACTGCTGAAGCTAAAATCCAAAGAACTGACACGTAAATCTGTAAGTGCTCCAATGATGGAGAGATGATTATTTTCTTTAAAAATGAATCTGCTGATGGTTTTCTTGATTAATCATTTATGTGTCATAAAATGCCAATACGTTGTGAAAAAATGCTCATCACAATTTTCCAGAGGTTAAGGCAACACATTTAGCAAGCTGTTACTAGTGAATGTTTGGCAGGTGACTCAATCAATGAATCGATTATTAAAATAGTTGCTGATTAATTTTCAGTCGAATAATAAATGAATTAGTCAACTTGTTCAAATTGTTTCAACTCTAGACCCCAAAATTATGTCTTTAACGCAAAGGTTTCCAATTTACAGTGAAAAGAGCAAAACATCCTCCCTTTAAAGGGAGATGATGATCACCAATTTGAATAATCATTTCAGCATATTTATTTTCTTTATTGTTCTGCAGTATAAAATAAATCAACGCCTCCATGAAATATTTTGTTTGTTTTTTTGTACATCATCTCAGGATATTTACTTTATTAGGAGGAGCTGCACACTCACCTCATGTTTACAGTCTTAGTTCTGGTCTCCTCTGTGACTTTAGGGATTTTTTTTGGATAAATATTAATTGGGCTGTCGTATAATGCAATCAACATACAATTTTCAAAAACAGATGCAGTGTTTTTTTATGTAGTTATCCTACATTATTTTCTCTCAATTACTGCTCCTTTCCAGTTCCAGTTAAACAGAAACGTAGCACAAAACACAAGGAAATTACTTCTTTGCCAGGAGTCTAGTCTGTAGCAGTGTGTAGCAGTCCCTTTGCATACTGAATCATTTAGCGCCATCACACTCTGGAGGGATTCACACAGCAACACTGAGGCAACTCAACCCTTTTTATACATTATACATGCCACATACATTATATATGCCTCCCTGCAAGGCAAGCATCTTCACTGAAATACAAGAGTGCCCCAGAATAGGGCCTGCATCTCAATGAAGCGACTTGCTACACGCTTTGCAGGGATGGCAGTATGTAGGCCAAGGCCTCGCTGGATAAACTGAATGAATATGTTGTTTCCTTTCCATAATGAGTCATGGTGGACATGATACATTCATAGTACACTGATACTAGAAGATTAATCACTGCTAAATACCACATGAGGCTACTGCTGTGAAGTACAAACAGCGCAGCTTTCACAGGGCTTTACAGCACCTGCTAAATGCTGGAGCACTGATGGTCTGGGACAGTGGCTCTCCACCTGTGGGAGCAGCCGCCAGATATTTATCACACACAAAATCATGTACTGTATATTAGTTAAGAATCATACTTTTGCTATACTTACATCTATTAATACTGTATACTTTCACCTGTCCTTCAAATAAAACTATCTCAACAACTTTATGGTGGATTTATCAATTATTGTTGTTATTAGGCCACACCTGCCAGTTTCCACTAGATTTTCTGCCACTTTGACCCACTTGCTCAAATGATTTTTGAGCCCTGAATGATTATTTATGTAATATATTGCCATAAACATTCTTCCAGTGCGACAAAAGACATCAGCTATGGTTTCCAATCTGTATGTGGCGAGCTACAGCGCATAAACAATAGCTTATCTAACCTACATAATGACCACAGGGAGAAAAAGTGAATGGCCAAATTGCTGCAGGACTTGTGGGTCCTCTGATTAAATCCCCCTACAAGCAGACAATTTTGAATAGAGACACTTCTGCATATATGTGTTGTGTTTGAAAGTCTTGGGTATACATTACAGCTGACAATTCAGAGTAAAACTTTCAGGTGAATAATGTACTTTAATAACATTACTGGTTAATTATATATAGGTTTATGTCCAATACCAATTGCTATGGATAGTTTATTTATGAATGTCTTTGTTGAACCATATGGTGCAATTAGTTTGAAACCTTCATGGTTCTGTGTTAAAGAAACAAAAAAAGTAAATGTTATTTAATTATAAGCAAATGTTTGGCAGTAAAGATTTGACAACTACCATTTTAGCATACAACTACATATTTTCTAGTCTGGTTTTGTCATATGCTTAAGAATACATGTTTCTTCTACGGGTAAAGAACGCAGTGAGCTATTTACAACATTTACTGGTTTCAAATGATTCAGTCTATCTATGTGATGTGTCGTGTGTGCCGGAAATGCATGTGTGATAATATTGGAAAATTGAAACCTGGCTCCTAACCATTAAGTGAATTACTTTTAATGTGTTGCCTGGCTGTGTTTCCTTTCATAGGAAATCCTATAGTGTTTCTTGTCATTCATTTTTATATGGTTTCTTTGCAGCTGTTATCACTGGTCTGGTTAATGATCAGTCAGAGTGAAACCTGGGTGCGCCGCAGATTAACAGCAGCATTCTCTGAGTCAACAGCAGCAGGAGATGTGAGTTTGTGAAACCTAATGGTCACTACAAAGCTACAAGGAACTTCACAATGAGTATATGTTGGCTCTGAGCTTTATACCTTCCGGTAACTTGAAAAGAACAAACATGAGATTGTAAGCAGTGAAGTCCCTCTGGGTTTTGTTTTTTATCTGCCTGGGGAAATCGAAATAAACATAAACCACAGGTCTTTTGTGGACTGTAAGTAATATATCATCTCACTCAGTCTTTACTCACACAAACACAATCACCATTCATCCTGTTAAAATATCATGAATAAAAAAATCATAAAACACATAGAGACATTACTCACCCAGTCCTGAACATCCTGCCCCTCTGACGGCCTGACCAGCGGCTCGTCCCAGTAGATGTTAGCTTGGCTGTGGTGCCAAATCTTGCTGCGGGTTTTATAGGCGTAGTAAGCAGACAGGGACAGGGCCAACACCACCATCAGACCCAACACTAACGCAACCGCCTGAGGAAAGACAGTAAATTATAGATCAGAATAGAATAAAATTGAATAAAATAGAGTAAAATAGAATAATCCTGCTAACCTCCTCGGGGTCCATGTAGCAGTAATGGTGCAGGTACTGATTGTACATGGGGAACCCCCCTGGAAAACCGGCCCCCACGCTGCCACTGAAACTGGGACTGCCCTGGATGTTTTGGCACATCATCAGCATGGGATTGTACAGCATGCTCTGTGAGCTCTGAGACATCGGGTTCACTCCGATCACAAAGATGATATCGATGATGCCCTTAAAATCAAAGGAGAGGCACGTTTAATCACTGTAATGATTTAAATGCCTATGTTATCTTTGAGTGATGCTGCCAATACAAAAAGTAAAAAATGACATTTTTTGTCAAGGGACTGGCTTTGACGAGAGCGATAAAGCAATATTTCTAGGTAGTCAAATGCTGTGTTCAGACCGCAGGCCGAAGTGACACAATATTTGTTGCTCATAGATTCAGACCGTCGTCACAATTCTGCTACTTGTCTGGACGGAAACAGTAGATAGGGAGAGTTATAGGGCTTATACGCACTGTACAGTACCAGAAACTGCAGTGTGAACATAGCCAAAAGGGAACTCAGTATTAAAAAAAGGTAGAGATCCTTTCCATAATGTTGTCAGGCATTCATAATAACTCAGTGGCAAAACAGGCACTTAAGTGGACGTACTTTGACGGGGTACAATTGCTCACAAAGATTACGTTGCAGCTCTCATCACTGCTGCCAACTGCAGAGTGTTCGCTCAATACTGGACCAATTTTAAAAAATGTTATTCCAATAAGCCATATAGAAATGGGAAAATGCGATCCAGGTTAAAAAAAATACAGAACTTAGCCTTTAATGCTTAACTTAGCCTTAACTTAATGCTTAGTCCCCTTCTGTTATTATAAATAAATAACAGAATAAATAACCACTGCTACCTGCTTGACAGTAGACACAGTGAGCAAACTAGCTTGTGAACATAGTGGAGCATTTAGCAGCTAAAGAGCCAGATATTTCTCTCAGGAAAGACCAAAACAGAGCAGACTGAACTTTGGATTCACATTCATCAGATGGCCAGAACACACAAATGTCCAAATTAATTTTACTTTAATTTGTTTGTTGGACGTGCAAATGAGTAACTCTTTGCTAACAAGTTCACCATTTCAACTTGTATTGTTTACAGCTTGTTTTTGCTGCCCCAATTTCATGAATTTAAAACATCTATGCAGCTTTTTGCCACTTTCGTCTCATATTTAGGTTGCTACCCCACAGCCTTTTCACTTCGGTATCAAACTGTCAGAATCAAGTCCTTATTTAATAACTGAATCAAGACCATAGAGGGGGCTGAGATGGGACTCAATACAGCAGAGGGCAATACTACAAGATATTTGTTTTGAGTAAGGACTGTATCTCTTCTGTGAACTGGAAACACTCCCACCCTTTTCCTCTTACAGTGGCTATCACTACTACTGTTTCCACCCTCATGACCCACACCTGACTGTAACATGTTGCTCTGTGTGTGATCATGAATTGATTGACACATTTTATATTTGGTGAAACTTACCTGAAGGACAGCTAAGATGATATCACAAATGAACACAGTAAGGTAGAACCTGCACCCCCGCATCATCCGTGACCGTGAGAAACTCCCCACCAGGAACCCCAGTGAAACCAGGAAGCAAATGGCCGCCATGGAAATCATCGCCGACTTGGCAGAATGTGGCGTCATGTAGGAGCTACTGTAACCATAGCTGCCTCCATGATATCCAAAATCCATGCCTGTGACAGCCCCTGCAGCCCCGAAACCATAGCCCCCATACCCAAATCCGTTCATGTCCCACACCAAGGTTGAAGCCACGCAGGCGAAGATCAGGAAACACATGAGTACTGTAGCTCCTTGAAAGGTTTTGACGAAACCAGGAGGAGAAAACCAGCGGTAGAAGTGTTGAGGCGTCTCTTCCATATAGTAGGAGTCTGGAGGGACATTATAGGTGTATGGGACATACTGGCTCTGGGGGGAGTGAACGCTCCTTGGGGGATAGAAGCCTTGGGAGGTGGTGCTGTAAGGCGGGCTGTACACAGGGGGGCTATCGTAATACTGAGGTTCATACATGGTTTAGAAGATCTTACTGCAATTTCACCTGGAAGAGGGAGGAAAAATAAGATAACATCCTTGTTATATTTTGTAATATCTTATCACTTTACCCAAATTCTAACCTTGTATCACCTCAGTCCTCTGGAGTGATGCCTTATGTAAAAAAGACTCTTAGAATTGAAAATGTGATGGCAGAATATAAAATAACTTTACTCCAAATGCCCATTCATAGTCCTTTCAGCACTTTTGTTTATATGATGTAACTAGGTTTTTTTTAAACACAGCATGGACCTCTCTGCCCTTCATTCACCTCAGCCCATGCCTGAACCGTCTCCCCAGTATCGCTGACCCACACTTCATCACTCCAGAGGAACTCAACCCAACAGGCTTCAATAATTCAAGCTTCAATAATTCAGACAGACAGCAGATAAGAGGTGAGCCGCGGCAGCCATGCGAGGGTGTTCACTGCATTGTGCTGCATCTAGGCCTACTGTATGTTACCTTTGTGAACCTGCTGTGAGTGTCAGCCCACTGGGAGAAAAACGGGAAGTTACAAAATAAGCCCACTCAGGCTTGAAAGAGCTGTTTGGGTGTTTTGATCAATTTCAGAGTTTCTATAACTTTTTAAATTTGCTCTCAGAAAGTAAGAAAAATAACAACAAAACAAAAATAATTCCTCAATGTCTCTAACTTTCCTCTCTTTTCTCTTTATTCGTTATTCACCAATTGAACTGGACATATTCCTGCATATTACTGTTATCCAAACAAACCAACTAAATATTTAGATTCTGTCCACTTTACAATCATTCAAGTGTAAGATCCGAGCAATTTATTTTACTTTGGTCAAAACGAACTGCAATTCAAAGTGCTTTTAGTTGAAGTCCACTAATAATAGGTGAAAGTCCTCTTTAAACATTCAACAGGCCAAATCAGTGAACACATTCTAATATGAAACAATCGTTTAAACCTTCACACAACTTTAACAATGAAATTATCGATTAGGGGTACACAACTTACCCAGACACGACAGCAAACGTTCTTCAACTTTACACCCGTCCAGCTCACCTGTCCTCATATCGCGTTATTCACGATAGTCTCCTTTCGATCTGCACACTTTATAGCCTACCGACGATCGTAAACGTCGTCATTTTCCATGCTGGATATTTTTTCCTAACAAAAAAACCCAACAAAAATCGATAATGAAACCTGCAGAGCGTCTCGGCAGGGGCACAGTTCACCCACAACTGACCTGATGGCTCCCATCAGCCATCAGCTACAGCTGCGTTAACATTAAACATTAAAGACCGCATGTACTCTCAGTCCACTTCATGCAATACACTCGAACTTTTTAAAGTTTATGAATGTTTTGACGAACCACAACATTGTATAATTGGATCTTTACTGTAAAGGATAGCTTTATTGTAATAATAATAATAATAATAATAATTATAATAATAGCCTAATAATAATTGTATCATTATTAATATAGCTGCATGCTATTATAGTGTAGGTGGTCATACAGTGAAGCTATTGCCTACATATATTAAAGGCAATCACAAGTGAAACAGTTGGTTGATTAGGCTAATTGATTAGTTGATCAAGTAGGCTAATTAGGGTCATTTTATTTTTCATGGAAAAATTTCCAAGTTCCAGCTTCTCAATTATGAGGATTTGTTTTCCTTTGTCTTATGTTTAAGTAAAAAAAACAAACAAGTGAGCTGTTCAGACAAAAAGAGAAATTTGAAGATGTCAGCTGATACTTCAGGTAATTATGATGGCCTTTTCCCTTTGGCATTTTATATAGACTACCAACCAGTTCTAAAGGTAATCCTATAAGTTGTGTAGTGTGAAAGCATCATTATGTAGTAGTTGTTTTTTTTTGTTAACTTAAAAACAGCTTTAAAATCATTTTGATTGTACACTTACAGGGTAAACTGAGTCTGTGACTTTGCCACTCCAGCCTTGCTGGAAATTTATCATGACAACGCCTTATTGCTTTACGGCACCAACACGACTCTAAAGCAAGCAAGCAATAAGAAGAAGCAAAAAGTGTATAATGTACAATTAAAGTTCTTTGGAAGAAGCTAGCTCTCACGCTGGGTGCCACCCGCCATAAAATGTAACAAAGAAGAAGAAGAAGCTAGCTCTGTATTCTCAATATGAATAGCAGAGGCTGAGAAGAGACCAAAGAAGACGTCGGGGGGAGAGACGAGAGTAAATATCGGACTGGCTTTTACTTATTGGCGCAAGCTAAAAGAGATGAAAGGATGCAGGACAGATGCCAAGCTGGCCTACTTGCTGCTGGACTTGTAAGTTATATGAATACCTGTTAGCTGGCGTGCTATGTCCGGTGTTGTTGAGTTTTGTTGATGTTTGGCTGTGTTAGCAAAGTGTATTAACTCAGAGGTTTAGCCGTTAGCTATGAATATTGAGTTGACTTGAAAACTTAGGTAACTCAAAAAAACATATCTTACATAATGTTGCTTTAATGCAGTCCTGAAAGCAGGCCAGCAGGTATCTACTACATACAGCCTAACATGTAGGTTAAACCAGTAAACCATCACATAGAATGCTGCTGGCTTTTTCCAAGACATTAAGCAATATAACTAAAACTGCCCTAAACTTTATCTTCATTCACATCATTTTACAACAGCTATCAGTCTGCAGTAAACATCATTGTCCTTAATACTGCTGTACTAAAACATCCAAATGGCCGGCATCACTCTCCGCACACAAGAACATAAAAGAGGAGAAAAACACTTTGATAATGATATGTTAATTGACCCTGATGTACAAGGCGAGGTGGCTGTCACAGCTTTATCCAGAAAACCACCACTAATGATAGTGCACGCACATGGGATTTTATAGCAGAAGGGACACAGTTAGCAGACAGTTAATGTGGGGGAGGTTGGCCTAACAACAGTTGATTCCATAAGATAAAAAAGATTGACTATTATTATGTCGCCACATTACCAAGATGCTTTCTATCAGTTTTTTTTTAGAAAATCCTGTGTGGGAACATGTCAAATCAACAATTCAGGTACACTGAAATTTTATTCGAATTTTGGATATGTTTTAATTGCTATTTATATACTTTATTGATATTTTATAGTTGTACTTTCCTGTTTCTACTGCAACTGCTGCACAACAGTTTCCCTCAGAAGAAATAAGAGTTCAGTCTTATCTTACAAAACAAAAACATACATATTCCTCTACAAATAAAATGACTTGTGGGAGGATAGGCGATTCATAAGTTCTGTTTCTTTCTGACAGGGTGAATTGTGTCACTTTACAACCTGTTTTGGATATGGCCTGTTGGATGCTAACTGCTGTCCAGAAATACACCCAGAGGACAGACACAATCTGTACAGTAAATCCCAATCATCAATTAAAATACATATTTGGTGTTTTTCTATTACGCAGACCGTGTTTTGCCATGAGCAATGTACCAGGCTACTAGGTCAAAGGTTCCATAACAAATATTTGAACAGTCTGTTTATTAGGCTTGATAAAGTTTTTGATTAACAGTAACAACTCAAAATACTAAGTGCTGACGTTCATAGCTTTCAATACTTACTCTCCACTTAATTCTGAAACCACAATTGTTATCCACAGGATGATGTTATTTTGTCTGAGGTCTATTGAAGAAATTACAAAGCTAAAGGACAATAAAAATAAAGGATTACCTTTAACAGTTGGGTGGTAAGAATAAAACAAAGTAACCCACAAAGGTAAACCAACTGTCAACAAACGACCAAAAAAAGTATGACATGAAAAACTGGCAGAACTTTAATTTAAAATGTACACTGAAGCAACATGTTGACCCTCTGCACAGACATAAATGACACGTATATAATAAGAAAATGTAACATGACATTTAGTGAAAGCTGTACAAAACAAGTGTACCATTTAGCCTTTAATAATGTTGTAGCTCAGTAGGATTAGAACTGTGGATACATGTTAACACTAACCTCATGTTGATTCTGTTAGAAAAATGTCCAATAATCTATTTAATCTACCCAGATCGAAAAATATGCTTTTCATTCAAAATACAATACATTCAATGCAGTCAATATGCTAGTGCAAAAGACAAGAACCCGATGACGCAAAGTTTATTTTTTTTGTCTGCTCAGCAGGTGCTGCAGATATTTCCTTCTTCACGTCTGACCACTTGCTTCCTGGTCAAAAGTGCGGATTCTCTTTTTGAGGTGGCTTAATTTAGCTTTCAAATAGTCGTAGCGTTCCTTTTTCTCTAGGAAAGCAGGGTCCTGTGAAAATTAGAAAATAAAAAAGATTAATGGCTTACAATCACTACCACCCAAATCTGCCTTTTTCCTCTTCCTCTGCTAACTATCGTCTTGTCTGATTCATTCTCTAAATGAGGACTTCCACAGTTTACTCACATATCACAATGGAAGTAATATTATTTGCACAAGTGGACAGCTTTATTGAAAAAGACAAGTGGGTGTTTATACAAGGGGACTAGTGTCCTCACTTTTTAACAATATCACTTACATTCTTTTTTTGCTGATATGTCTTCAAAATGCTTTGAATCCTCTGCTGATCCTAAAAGATAAATAGAATGATAACCAGATGGTTTTCACAAAATATGACACACAATGCTCACACAATAAGAAGGCCTAATTAAAAAATGTTCACTTTAAATTAAATCCTGGAAGCCTATCACATAAATGGTTTATATGTTATATAAAAGTTAATTAAAAATCCATCTCACCGCTTGGCTTTTTGTACCTCTGAGGAGTCGTGCCATCGTGGCATCCAGCTCTCTGAACTTATTCAGGGTGGTGCTGATGTCTCTGTGAAGGTCCTTGTATTCCTGATACTGGTCATTGAAAACTGCTTTGTACTTTTCCCTTTCTTCCACACAGCTGATCTCTGGATACTTTCTGTAGGAAAGGATTTTAAGGAGGTGACACTACACGGTGACTACAAGCTTATTTTTTTTTTTGGTTTGTTTCTGTTTTCAAATCATGTCAAGCATATGCAATACATGGCATATAATATGGCTAATAATATGATTATGAAATAGAAAGAAAAAAGTCCCCAAACCACTTAAAATGTAGCTATAGTTTAAATGTTCACTCACATGACGTAGTCTGCAATGATACGGACTCTGGGGGTGTATTCAGACGCTGGGGCTTTGTTCAGACTGACTGGGTTCTTATGGTTCTTGATATAATCTTCACTCAGAGACTTATCCATTTCATCCTTGAATGATATGCGTTTTGGTTTTTGAGGGGTTAGTGGGATGGACTGGTGAAACTCCTCTTGGGGCTAAAGGTAAAAGAGATAGTATAATTCAGAAAACATTAACCAACAAATCAAATTATCATTAACCAACTTTAACCAACAAATTCAATTATCTAATGACTATACACCACTATGTGTGCAGGGCTGTGTCATCATTACAAGAAGCTTTCCAAAATGCCAGGAGCAAAATTTAGCTTAAGCTACGTGTCAGAGGAAAAATACTGCCCCATTCTTTTGCTTCGACAAGGTAAGCCTCTGAAGTTGCATTCCCTCAGCCAGGAGCTGGAATTATTATATTCACTGCTGGCCTCTCACCATTTCTTATTTGACATCAAATACATTAGCTGACCATGCGGTTTCTCACCCGTAGGTGGTGGCTGTGATGATAGTACTAAGCTTGGTAGCTGTTGAGGAACAATCACGAGTACTTGGGACACAACATTGTTTGTGCCAATGTCCCCTTTGTTACACTGGTAGACTACAGTAAACGTCTTACTTATAGATACCAAAGGTATGGGCTATAACAGGGTTACCAGCATTTACAGATGCAGAACACACATTGGGTAGCAGAATAAGAGTGTCTACTTCACATTAAACTCATCTGTGTCTGGCACATTTATACTAAGAGGTCAATAAATGTAAAAAAAAAACACTTTACAGCTTTGGGACAAATCCTGGTTGAATGTCATGGCATCAGCCAGCAGAAAAAGCTGACATAACAGTACTGACAAATGGCATGCTCACTGCAAATTGTCTTGACTGACTTTACATTTCATTGGATTAGATCTGCCACAGTAATATTATCCCTTACTGTTGATCCCAATAAATGGGGTGTTTGATTACTTCAAATAACCCCAAAAAACAAAAAAAGGGGGAGAGTGATGCCCAAATGTCATTTAGACAGCCTCCTGTCTCAGACTGTTACAGAGCAGCATTGACAGGAGTCATACAAGAAAGGGGATAAAGCATGGGCAATATATCTACGGAAGCTGAGATCATAACCTGACAGTTAAAACTTTAAAGGGTTAACGTAGCACTTTTTGTATAGGCCTTATATAGTGAATTTAACCATACTTCTATACTGAATCCATGAGAAGCAGTTCCCACATCCAACTAAGTGCAACTCTTGAATAAGACACAAATGATTTCCTTCCCACTAAATTTAGAAGCGATGAGCTTGTCTTTCATCTAAAATTTCCATAGGATAAATGAACTGTACCTTGTTCTTAAAGTACTCCCTCTCCCTACGTGTGGCCTCATGCCTCCACATCTTTAGACACACCAGGAAGCTTCCCAGATACATTGCCATGTTGATGAAAATGAAAGCTGTTCCCGCCATCTGGCCCCCATCAACCCGACACAGATTGGCCGTGATGGGGTTAACGCCTATGGTCATGTAGCACAGCCCCCCACGATTCAAGTCATTCAGGTAGACGATCCCTGCTGCCATGTAGAACAGGAACAGTGCCACGTTGATGAAGGCCTCTGTCAGAGGCCACCAGGGGGCGTCAAGGAGTATGGTGCGATAATACATAGTTAATCCCATCACCAAGAGAATGAGGGTTATAATCCAGGAGACTCCAGCTACTGCTAATATAAAGGGAGTCATGGGGCCTCTGTAGCTGTACCCAGATAGGCCTTGCCCATTATTATATACACCATTATAGAGTCCGTAGCTGTTGGACCACTCACTGTCTTTCTGAATGTAGGCAATGACACAGGCAAAGACCATGCCCCCAAATAGGAGCTGAAATCCGGCAAGAAGTCTGAGCAGGCCTGGCCAGGATTTCAAATAAGAGTACTTCTGGTTATAGACCTCCAGCTTCTCTGCGTAGTACTCTGCAGGGTGGATACTGGTGAGCAGAGATTCCTCTCGTGGACCCTGATTGAACAGATCATCAGAGGGGCTCGCCCTTAACAAAGGCTTATTGGAGTTCTGGCTGCAGTTGCCCAGTGATTCACCCCAGTTCCTACGCTCCAGCAGTGGACTTACAGGAGGACTCACCCTGGTCCCATTAGGAAGGATTGCGATGGTGCTGGCTTCAGAGTTATTGAAACTGTCACTTTCCCTTGTCCATTTATTGATGATGCCCCCCCATGACTGAGGGATGAGGGATTTCAGCCTGTCCTTCATGCTCCCTTTTTTCTCCTTCTCTGCATAAGGTGGAGTACTGGATGTGCGGCCTGTGGAATTTGTATCGTCATCATCTGTGATATTATCTGGTGTGGGTGTGTGAGTAACCCACACAGGCACTGGTGGATCACTAATGGAGTTCCTCTTGCTAGAGGAGGACCCAACCACACTGTCAGGCTCTTGTCTCTTGAATTTCTTGCTCCAGCTTTTCATGCTGCGGGCTGATTTTGGTGATTCATTGAGAAAGAACAAATCACAAAATCTTTATGAAGCATTGAGAGGGAGAAACTGTGGGAGGAATAGACAAATCGTATTAAGCATGTAAGCATATATCCCATAATCATATGCTCTAAAATCTATAACACACGTCACCTTCATAAACCTCTCAAAAAACAAAGAAACCCTGATTTTACAATGCAATACAGACAACATTAAATAATAGAAGCAGTCTTCTTCATGGAAATCTAATCTTAAAGGACCATACCTGCGTGTTTGCATGTTGCAGTATACTTCAGATTTTTACTGACTATTTTTGAACACAGGGCTTATGATTTTCAGATGTTCAGACGTTGCTGGCCGAAAACCCCAATCAATGCGCTGAAAAACAGGATAGGAAAAACTCAGGCAGCAAGTTGAAAGATCACTTATCTCCACCACTTCCCACTACCTCAAGCTGCCTGGGAAAAAGCTACATGTAGTAGCAAAAGCTTAGTCGGTTGCATATACTGTTTAAAAGAAGTGGAAGTAGTCACCGTGGCGTCACCCACTGTTTTGCGGACTACCATTGTAAAGCCTTGAGTTTGGCATTTTGGCCGTCGCCATCTTGATTTTTTTGGACAAGACCATGGCATTAGCTAGCTTGATGAGCAAGGTGCATCCATAATTCACATTAACTGTTATTTTAACCGGGATGCTAATTTTGGCTAGCGAAAAACAGGCCTAAGACAAAATGTACTTAAATTAACTGCCAACTCCTAATAAACAATGTGGTGTATACTAGTCGCCTCTAGCCTTATTGACTGCTAACATGGTAGTGACTTGTCAATCACAAGGTAGTCCCGCCTAAAAGCTTACTCTGCTTTATTGTCTATTTTCCTCTAAATGGGACCATAACTTACTAAATGAACATCATGTTGTATTGAAAAAGATTTGAAACTGGCAGCTGAGATCATAAACTCATTAGAAAAGTGTTTGCCAACATTATAAATCAGGTGAGAAGCAGAGTAATTTTGACATTATTTGTAATAGAGCAAGACTTCTTTTTGCAACCAGTGGAGTCGCCCCCTGCTGGCCGAAAGATTGCAGGTTTAAGACACTTAAGACATCGGAGGTTCCCGCTTGGTCGGTTGACTTCGTGGCATTGGTTTCCTTGACCTGGGGCATGCCATGTTAGGACCGGAATGGGACTCATTTTCAGCCTGCAATTCAGCTGCATTTTCATGCAACCTATTACTGAAAAACTTCAATTAATAGCCCAGGCTTTTATTTGCTAAAATCACTGAATTGACCCTGCCTATATTTGGGACAGGCTATTTCAGACTCAGCTATTAATTGAAGTCTTATGGTATACTGGAAATATCCTGTATAATTATAGCTTTACTATGTAAGTTTGCTATATTCTATTCAAACTTCTGTGTATTTTAAGGAAGTGTGTCTTGCTGCAACTTGGTATGCCACAACTGAAGCAAGTAATCTGCCACCTTTGAAAGATACTCAACTATAAAACAAACAAACAAGGATAGAGAGAGTATCTAACCGGTACAATAATTGTATTCTTCTGGCATTATGATGAGCAGCGTGCCCAGTATCACTTCTAGCGCCATGAAAACTAAAAATAAACACACACGTGGCTGCTCCTTAAGCCTTTTACCTAAAACAAGGTTGTAAACAAATCTTCTAATTGTCACAGTGTAACATTTCCTCTGTCTTAACCTTCACTAACACTGCATTGAAACTATTTCCTGCCTTCGAATTGTTATACATAGAGTCGAGTATTACAGTACTTGTATACTTGGGGAATCTTTACAGTCTGCTTTTATGTGTTGTGCTGCTAGCCTGATGGACTCGCTCTCTGATTTAAAAACAGGACATAGATGCGACGAAAGTAAAACAAAATAAGTTAAAAAAAAAGTGCATATAAATGTTGATTCATTACCACACCCTACTCCCACCTAAGTAATTTGGGATATTTAAGGTCTGACCACACTGCAACCCATGGATCAGAATTCATTATTCAGATGAATGACCAGATGTAGATTACTTGTTAAAATCAGGTGAAAATGGGGCTTATGAGTTACATTTCACATTCAATGTGATCCATTGTTAAAATAAAAATTTTGACCACTTTAAACTTGAGTTGTATCATCCATCAAAATAAACACAAAGGCTTCTTTCCTATTTAATCTTACCTTATCATTAGGCCTACATGGAAATGTTCATTGTTATGGATTACACAGCTGAAGCAAGTTTCAAGAGTCTGCTAATAAAATTGAATTGTAATAAAGGAAGAGTCTGGAATGGTAGGAAAAATAACGATTTCTAACAACTCAGGGAGGGACCACTACATGACTACAGAAGAGCTCAGACTCAACTAATAACAGAGGAGTTCAAGCTGAACTGTGACTCACAGCATGCTGCTGCACAAGCTCTTAATACACAGCAACAGTCTTGAAAAAGTCACAGTACATCCAAGTGGGAACACATTAATAACACAGAGCATATTTTTTTTCAGGACAATAAAAAGATCTCAAAACACCACAATGTTTCTTACCAGTTTGACCCAAAATTGTCTCTCTTGTCATGCAGATGTTAGTTGCTTGTAGGAACTGACACCTACTGTAAAATGGCCGCCGTGTCCACCAGGTCCAGTCAGCTCACCCTCTTCAGTCTCTCAGGTGACTCACTACTGGTGTTGGATGCACAGTTCCGCACTTGCAGGGCGATTGGCCAATGTCTGTGGAGAAGGGGGGAGTAAAAGCTTAAACATTAAACCTGAACCGCCCCTGTGCTGGTGCTGACTGGCACTAGGTTAATCTGTGGGGGAGAGAGAGAAAGAGAGAGAGAGAGAGAGAGGCTGAAACTGTTGGCATTAATAAAACTGAGGAGAGGAGGTGGTGAGCTAACCTGAAATGATGCATGCAACCTACAACAGGTGCTTTAAAGAGCCTGGATGGCCATTCAGGCTGCTTGGAGTTCATATTATTGACACTTTATTGATAAGTAAAGGGTACAAAGTTGATTATACACTCATTAATTCTGCTTCAGGGACTCCTGGTTACGTATACAACCCCAGTATTGTCATACTTAAAGTATTACGGATATCAATTTAAACTATCAAAAAAACAGTGTCTTGTCCACAAGATTACACTTATTTTTAGAGACAAGCATGTGTTTGATATCAGCCCTAAGATACCAATTACATCTCATATCTAAGATCTGTGAAATACTGTTTTATCATCCCATCATTTATGAATAATTCATCCTCATCGCAGCTGTGTCATATTGTGTTGTTGTCACAGAAGGAACTGGAGTGTTTGGCACTAGAGGGCAGCAAGCTCCTGTACTTCTCATTTTAGACCACCACCTCTTCTCCCCCTTTTTCTGTCTGTTATCCCAGCGGTTCCCAAACCAAACTTTTTAGGCAACTCACCCACTTCCACATCTTGGTTACTGCACCCCCCACCCCCCCCCCCCCCCCCCCTCTCTCTCTCTAGGTTTTATTTATTTATATATATATATATATATATATATATATATATATATATATATATATATATATATAATTTAAAACAAACAACTTATTTATTTATTTACTTATTTATTTGGTCAATGTCCCGCCCACAGCACTATCAGATTGGTTACATGTTGTGAATTATGGCCTATTAACACTTTGAGCAGCGGAGCTTTGAAGGGAAGGCAGTCGATATTGCTGAAGGTGCAATAAACATCAAAATCTGATGATCTGTTTCTATGATGACAGGCAGCACCAGTGAACATAGCCATAGTCACAGCTACTGGGTTTCACTCAGTGACACTCTTGAAAGTGACAGCTTTTAAGTCAGTCGCTCTCCCCTTACACCCACTCACTGCGCTTAAACACAGCATGCATATGCCTTCTCTGTCTTTTCACTGTAACTCTGCATTGCGATGTAAGATTATATATTTATTACTTTAAAAAGTAACAGTAGCAGAAAAAAAACCTCTTCTTAGACTGAACTTAGCAATCAATCCACAGTTCACCTGCGTGCAGAACCGTGCAGAGGGAGGTGGGGGATATTTCCATGACAAAAAAGAATGTTTCAAACCCCCCCCTGTTTTTTTTACAAATCACACCCTATTATAGCCTCATAAACAGATAACATGGACAAAAACAGGATCCATATGAGGATTTGTAAGTACAGTCTGTGTGGTTCAGCCTGAGAGAGGGAGAGGGAAAGAGGTGTGTGAGTAGCCATTTCCTGTGAACTAACTATTAATGATAACGTTTTTTAAATTTTTTATTAAATTTACATAGGAAAGTTTTCAATTCAGGTTTTTATCTCGTGAAAAATTCCACAAAAAATAATTGTTGTAGTTGTTACACTACTACTAGGAATGTGAACAAAATTTTCAACATGGTTAAATGCTAAAGCAAATTGTACAGAAAGAAAGTACAGAAAGAGCTTGAAATATCCTTTAAAATGATACCAAGACCATGTTTATAGGTTCAATAATCGCACAACACTGGTCATTTGACAGCCAAAAGTAGTCACTTTATTTTGTCCTCTGTTTTCCACTGAAGTCAAAGCAAAAGGTGTGACCCTGCGGCACGGCTAAAGCACACTCTGCTGGCTGCTTCTTACGTTGTTAGCCAATGGAAGCAGATTTTGCGGGCAATAAAACTCCCAAGGTCGTCGTTCAAATTCATTGAAAATTCGTTCACACGTAGTTTAGCAACTAAACTAAATGTCTATTACAGTTTAAAGAATGTTTTTACTCACTTTCAGCAAAAAACGAGACAATTTTGTGACCAACAAACTTTGACTTGCTCAAAATGCCAGTATTTTTTATTTTATTAACGGGAAAGACGGAGACTTGAAACGAGGAGGTATCTATGGTTTTCCTGGTGGTGTAATCAATCAGAACCCGGAAGTTCCACAAAAAACAAGCCAACAGGAGCAATTATTTTCATAACACTGCAAGTTGTCAGGGAAAATCCCGAGTTACGTCTGTTGGAACCAAGACGGCAGCCGCGATGGTGGAGATAGTCACGTACCTACTACTACACCATTACATTTTTCCCGTCGCGCACCCCTTAGGGGCAGCTCATGCACCCCCAGGGGTGTACGCACCACACTTTGGGAAATGCTGTCTTGTCCTATTTACTGTCTCTCTCTTTCCAACTCATCTTTTCTCTGCTGCATTTAATGTTTCTAAATCTGGCTGCCCAAGTCAACACCAACTAACATATAATATATGCTCTAGTATCTTTTGACCATGTTTCTTCAGTCACATGCTTATATTAGAATAAAAGAGCAGCTAAATTCATAAATTAGATCATGCTCTTGAGATATTGTAATGTTTCCAAGTAGCCTGCTTTCTGTTATTTTAATATAACCAGTACCCAGTCTGTTTTATTGCAAAATTCCCCTTTAGCAATGACTACATGTCTTCTCTGCACAAGATTTAATGCTCCACATCTGACTGCAAGAATCATGTGATGTCACTCTGTGCCATCTATTCTTCCAGAGCAGCGCTAATTTTCATGTAGACAAAGCTCAAGGCAAGGACATCTGTAGTGACTCCCCCTCCACCCACATTTCCTCCACCCTCACACACACACTCATTCTGCAGTACTCATAGCCGACACAGTACAGTAAACACATAATGCAACCCACTTTCTCAAGTGAGTCCCACCAGTGGCCCTAGCCCGGGGTTACCTCATCTGTTGGTGCGGTGCGTGTCCTCCATTGCTGGCGCAGGTGCCTGCTCAGCTGCAAGTAATACACAGAACAATGCAAGAGTATAGGGAGTGCTTAGATTGTATAAAACAAAGGCCTAACATGCACATACATACAGATCTTGTTCTGTGTAACCTAAATGTGTTGAATATTTGAAATAAGTATAGTACAGTAGAATCAAAAGTTTAAATTGATCTGAAATGTTTCCTTTAAAATATCATCATACTTGTACACCTGTTACGGAATGTATGGTTATCAGGGATGTGATTTTTCCGGATTAATCCGGAATTCCGGAAAGCTAAAGGAAGACAGGAGAACGGGGAGGAGAGGTATTTTCGACAGCTGTAAGTAACGTTGTTGCCTATAGTAGCCTATATGCTAAGTGACTAGGTAATAGCTATATTATTTCTGAGTAAGTTGCCCAACACTGAGTCGACAGTAAGGACCGGATAAATTGGGTATGTTTTGATTATTGCTTGTTATAGGCTATTTCTAATGTTTACTTTGAGTTGTGGATTTATCAATCATATAGCCTACATACACTTTGCTGTATGAATGGTTGCCTTTGTCTTTATGTCCTTATGTTAAAGGTTTTGGCAAGTTATAAATTAATTTCTTGTGAATGGTTGTTACGGGTTTATATAAGGCCTTTTCAGACGGCTTTGATCCGCAGGGTCACTCTGCGCTCCTCATCAACAGACAGGCAAACAAGCGCTCCGCGAGGTAACCATGGCAACGGCTTCTGTGTAACTGGCGCGATCACATGTGTCCAGTATCAGTTATATAGTCTGTTGTGTTTTGAGTTTCTCTGAGTTAGTGTTTTGTCTGTTCAGTATCTGCTATTTAGTCGGTTTTAGTTCCATGTCATTGTTCCCAGTCCTGTGCCTTAGTTATGTTTTAGTATTCACTCCTAGTTCTTGTTTACATTATTTTTGGGTTAGTCTCCTTTGTACTCTGTTCTAGTTCTGTGTTCTTTTAGGTTCTGGCACTTTGTAACATGTGTGTTCTGTCTTTGTTGGTTATTCATGTTGCCCCATGTCTATCTGAGTTCTGTTTTACCATAGCTTCTGTCTTTGTTCCTTGTTGGTGTTAGTTTATTTGTGATCTGTCCGCTTGTATTAGTTTATTTATATTACTCTGATGTTTAGTGTTGAGTAACTTGTGTTTTGTCTTTTCTCCCCTCAGTAATCTGCCTGCCTGCTACTCTCCCTGTTTTCCCTGCTGTCTCCCTGCCTGCCTGTGTCTCGTTAGTCTCATGTCTGTCAATTGTGTTGCTCCCGCCCTGCTTGTTATTCCCTGTGTATATACCTGGTGTTTCTGTCTTGTCTTTGTCGGGTCATTACCTTGTATACCTTGTGTACAGTGTGCTCCAGTGTGTTGTTTGCTCGTCTGCTCAGTCTCGTTTTGCTTGTCCCCCGTCAGTCGTTTGGATTTTGGATTTCGACCTGTTCTGGATTTTTCTGTTGGATTACCCTGTTTGTGTTGGATTGTAATTTTGGATTTCCTGAACTCAGCCACTCTTGTAAGTGTGCCCGCCCTTCATTTATTAAATCCTTGAACTATACCTGCTCCGCTCTGTGTCCTGTGTTTGGGTCCTACAACCTGCCCTGCTTCACCACACACAAATCCCTGACAGAAAATTAGTAGTTATATATATATATTTAGTTATAGAATCAATTATTGAATGTTGCACATTTAACTGTTGAAGCTTGGTAAAAAAATTTATACAAAATAATTATTATAGAGAGGTGCAACACATCCACCAAATAAGTTGTTGTCATGGGTCCTGCTTTACCATCCATGTTATAATAGAGCCGCTGCCAGTTTTATCGGGGTGTGGGGGGTTCTCAGTATATTTTCCTGCTTTTTTGCCCTTTGCCAATCACATGCCTGGGTTATAAAAGATGGGAATGGAAAGAGATAGTAAGTAATGCAGATGTTAAAGGAATAGTTTGAAATTTTAAGAAATTAGTTTATAGTAGTATAATAGAACAGT